AGGAAAGTGCAAAAGTGGGCTTGAAGCGCAACATCAAAAAAACTAGGGGTATGGCATCTGGCCCCATCACTCCTTGGCAAATAGAAGGGGAAGTCGTGGAAGTAGTGACAGACTTCATGTTCCTGGGATCCCAGATCACCGCAGACTGTGATAGCAGCCATGAAATTAAAAGACGCCTGCTCCTTGGTAGGAAAGCAATGGTGAACCTAAACAGCATGATAAAAAGTAGAGACATCACCCTGCCAACAAAAGTCCACATGGTCAAAGCAATGGTATTCCCAGTAGTCATGTATGGCTGCGAGAGTTGGACTATAAGGAAGGCTGAGCGCCGAAGAATAGATTCTTTTGAACTATGCTCTTGAGAGTCCCTTGGACTGCAAGGAGATCAAATCAGTCAATCCTAACAGAAATCAACCCTGATTGTTCCCTGGAAGGCCAGAGACTGAAGCTGGAGCTCAAATACTTTGGCCACCCAATGGGAAGGGAGCACTCACTGGAGAAGACCCTGATGCTGGGAAAGATCGAAGGTCAAAGAAGACGGGGACAGCAAAGGGTGAGATGGTTGGACAGTGTCATAGATGCAACGAACATGAAATTAAGCAAACTCCGGAGCACGACGGAAGACAGGAGGGCCTGGCGTGATCTGGTCCATGGGGTCGCGAAGAGTCGGACTCGGCTGTGCGACTGAACAACAAAGGAAGAGGGCATTGTGCATGGAGAGAGAGACGTTGCCCCCCAGTCCTCGGGTCGCCCATCCAAGATTAGCCCTCACAGCAACATTATTTCTCAAGGGAATAAATGGTCAGTAGGACACTTTTAAAAGTTCACCCAACCAAGCCTCTGATAGCGCCAGGGTGAGTCTAAACCTAGAAGAAGAGATTGGATTTATACCCCGCCCTTCACTCGGAGTCTCAGAGTGGCTTACAAACTCCTCCCTTCCCACAACAGACACCCTGTGAGGTAAACGAAGAAGAGGAGGAGATTGGATTTATACCCTGCCCTTCGCTACCCAAAGGAGTCTCAGAGCAGCTTACAGTCTTCTTTCCCTTCCCCTCCCCACCACAGACAGACACCCTGTGAGGTAAACGAAGAAGAGGAGGAGATTGGATTTATACCCTGCCCTTCGCTACCCAAAGGAGTCTCAGAGCAGCTTACAGTCTTCTTTCCCTTCCCCTCCCCACAACAGATACCCTGTGAGGTAGGGGGGGCTGAGAGAGCTCTGACAGATACTGCTCTTTTTCAAGAACAGCTCTTATCAGAACCATGGCTTGCCCAAGGTCATCCAGCCAGGTGCAAGGGGAGGAGTGTGGAATCAAACCCGGTTCTCCCAGATTAGAGTCCGCGCACTTAACCACCACACCAGACCTGGCTCTCAGTGCCATACAACCTAGTACCAAACAACCTTGCTTCTACCTGCAGAGCTGCTTCCTGGGTTCTGTATCCTGGTCTGCGACAGAATGTTGGGGACTAGTTTTTATATATCTAACACTGCCAACAGTTGGGTTAGTGCTGTGGACTCCGGTGGACCCAACTGTGCATCCAGCGAATCTAGCCGTGTCCTCCCGTATTTTCAGGCTGGCTGTATGCTAGGTAATACCATGTCACTCGGAGTGTTTCTTACACTTCACCGGGGCTCCCCAACATTTTTCAGCCTGTGGGCACCTTTAGAAATCTGATGCAGTGTGGTGAGTGCAGCCACAAAATGGCCGCTGCCGAAAACGATTGCCACAGCTTCCCTTAAGCCACACGGTGTCCTTGTGCTGGGTGGCAACTGCTGCCAAAGCAGCATTTTTAAAAATCTACACAGCTGATCAGAAGGCTTGCTGGAGATTTTTGGCCACTGTGTGACTCAGAGGGTGCGTTCAGACGGGGCGTTTCAGCCGGCATAAACTGCACCAGTTCCAACCGGTGCAGTTTATGCCGGGTGAAACGTGATCACACTTACCTCCTGTCTGCGGAGCCCATTGCTGTATGCCCGTTCACACACAGCGGGCGTCGGCAGGTGTTTTTTTTTAATTCAGTTTCCGCATGCGCATAGGCAGCCATCCACAGAATGGCAATCTTCGCGCACGCGCAAAACATCCCATCCCAAAAAGCATGCCCTGGAGAAAGGACTTACCTTTAAAGTTTAAAGACCAAACTGGCCTCCCTGAGGTCCCGGACTCCTCTAAAACCTGAAACTAAGGACCTTTTTCTTTTTTTTTTAAACAAACACTGGGGCAAAGCTTCACCCAAGCGCATATCGCCGACCTAACAAAAAAAAATGGCGGGTGAAAAGCGGAAGCCTCAGGCTTCCGAACGGAAGTGGCTGTACAGCGGTGGAGAGCGATCAAACAGGGGGTAAAGCATTTACAACCGGTGCACTCAGGATACCACCACATGGGGACCTAGTGGCAGAATACAACAGTGTAAAGCTCTTTGCAACAGTTAGGGACGGAAGGCAGATGTTCTATGTGTGACCGCCGGTAAGTACACCGATTCCAATCGGCACCTATACCGTTGTAAATGCCCAATCTGAACGCACCCAGAGTGATGGATTGGATGGGCCATTGGCCTGATCCAACATTGGCTTCTCTTATGTTCTTAGAAGAGGAAACTGGATAAACATATGGAGCAGAGGTTCATCAGGGTCTACATAGGGACTCTCAGTCTGGGGCAAGGGATGCTCTGTATTCTTGGTGCCTGGGGGGGGGGGGCAACAGTGGGAGGGCTTCTAGTGTCCTGGCCCCACTGGTGGACCTCCTGATGGCACCTGGTATTTTTGGGCACTGTGTGACACAGAGTGTTGGACTGGATGGGCCTTTGGCCTGATCCAACATTGGCTTCTCTTATGTTCTTACGTTCTTAAAAGCCTCACCTGGCCCACCCACTTTCTAAAAACACTTGGCAGGTGCCAGGAAAGGTGCAGGGTGGGCATCATGGTGCCCACAGGCACGATGTTGGGGACCCCCGCTCTACACTCTTAAGATGCTGCTTCGTCATGGTAGCCCATGCACGGCTTCCCTTCTTTTCCATGGGACCTGAGGAGGGGAGCGTGGGTTGGATGCAGCCCAGTGTACGCGAAGAAGCTTACTTCTCCTTCAGGGGGGGCGAAATAAATGCCGCTGGAATCAAACTTGTAGTCGGGATCCGTCACGATGATGGGATTGTAGAACTTGTTCAAGATGCTGCGGAGGGTGCGCCGGTCCCAGTCATCGGTAACCCTGCCTCCGTAATTGCACTCGCCAGTCATGTAGCGGATGGCGTCAAACGGCAGCTCCTGGAGCGCAGAGAGAAGCAATTCGGTGTGACCTCTATGTCCGCATGGGGGAGGCTACTGAATAATGTTTCCTTGGAAGGAAAAGCTCAAAACGGTCTGGATCCCATACAACTTAAATTCGTTTTTTTCTTAAGTGTACTACCCCTTCTCCCGCCCTACAAACACACACCATCCAGCTGTGACCCACAGCATCGGTTGATGCATCTGCCCATTTCAATAGGGTGACACTATGGAATGGATTCTTTTGTGTGTGGGGGGTTTTTTGGGTTTTTTTTTTGCCTTTGTGTATGTGCGCATGTGCGCGCACCCGTGTCTGGAAGTCACGGCGACCTCTGGTGACTCCTACTGGGGCATGGAGGACGTTCAGAGAAGTGGCTTTGCTAGCCTGCCTCTGCTTCCCGGCCATGGTATTATCCTTTGGAGGTCTCCCGTCCAAATGGTCGCCCGGGTCGGCCCTGCTTAGCTTCCGAGGCCCTCCAAGATCGGGCTTGCCTGGGCTTGTCCAGGTCAGGGCTGAAGTGGATTCCTACAGTGGTTGTCTGTTTTGGAGGGGCTGCACGGGGAGGGTACCTCGTACTGGTTCAGGAACATGTGCAACTGCTGCACGCTGATCCGCAGGTCGGTCTCGTTGAACTCGTAAGGGATATTCCAACCCAGGGGGCCGAATTTCCGCCTCTCTTGGACCAGGGCGTGGAAGAAGCAGAGGCCGTACAGCAACTTCTTGAATTCAGCCTTTAAAAAAGAAGAAGACAGAAAATAATGTCCTACTCATAAACGTCTTTCTTCTTTCTCCGGCTTCTTAGTGTTATACAAATTAATATCCAGTCAAAAATAGAAAATTGAAGTCAAAATGAGGAGGAAGTTCCTGTATTTTATTGCAATGAAATACGGAAAACAGTTAGGCCAAAGGACCCATCAAAACTGACTGCTTTCTTCACAGCATAATCAGGAAACATGCCTCAATTAATAGCAAAACAATTAGACCAAATAGTTAACCAAAAATTGACAACTTTCTTCTTTTTCTTCTTCTTCTTCATCTTCTTCAGCATATTCTGAACATATATCTACGTTAAACTAAGTGTTTACTTAACCTAACCTAAGTGATAATGGGCAAGGATTCTTCATATCAGACCAAAATCTTATCTGACCCAGACATTGAAAGGTTTGCCCTAAGAACTACAGAATCATGACCTTTGTACCTATTATGTTGTCTGCTAACAATATCAGACCTACAATAGGAAAGCCTTCTATATAACAGGCCTTTCTAACATCCTAATAAAATATTACTTAAAGAACAAATCTATAAAAACCAGAGAAATATGAACATGAACAATCAAGAAGAAAAAAACCTATATATAAAAATCTTTATATTCCCATTCATACTACATTAGCGGGAGGACCGGTGGGGAATCTCAGTGCTCTGTTTATTCCTTTCCTTTCCTTTTATTCCCTTGGAAGCTCATTGATTCCTAAATCTTGAGCAGCAGAAAATACTTATTCCTTAGTTTTGGGATGCAAAGGTTAAAAGGACTGAGGCCTATTTTGCAACTGCTAAGATAAATTTAGGATCCTTATCGCTAAGCACAAGAGCCAGGGGTTTCTGGAACAAGGCTCTGTTTATTCATTTACTCCTCTCATATCCTGCCCTTCTTCAAAAGAGCCCATGTGCCTTCTAGGTCTTCCGTGCAAGTATCCAAATGTCTTTTCCTCCTTAGTGCCTTCAGATGCCTCTTTGTGGCTTGAGGAACCAGTAAATCTGTTGACTGACACCCCACCTCTGCCCCAGTCCCACATTAAGCCAGGGGTGGGGAGGGTGGGAGGATCGGTTTGGTTTTTAGAGCAAAGGGAAATGCAGGTGATGACCCCCCCTCGTGCTCACGGCTTAGCTCCCTGTAGCCTCTCTCCCTGTCTCCCTCCCACGTTCCCCTCTCGTATCAGAGACCAGCCAAAGGAAAAATTATTCTGGAAGAGAAGCTGTATGAAAATAAGAGCCAACTAGATGTTACCCAGGTCCAAGCCGTGTCCGCCAATGCCATTTTAGAGAAGATAGTGGCCATTTAAAAAATACTGCAAGGCACAGAGGGACCAGGAGACCTTGCCCCCCCCCGAGTCTTTTCAAGTGCTGAAACAGCTTCCCCCCAGCCGTTTTGATTTCAAAAAGGCGTGGGGGGGTCCTGGGGGTCCAACTCGGACCGGGCCCTCACAGCATTTTTCAAAAGTGCCCAAAATCTTCTCCAAAATGACATTGGTGGCCAGAGGTCGGACCCGTGGTCACAGTGACATCTAGTTTAGCCCTAAGAAACAGGCAGAGCAGGAAGAGTTTGAAACCCCGCGCTCTAAGATTCGGACGCCCACTTCTGGCTTCGATTAAACTAAAGTGCTTTTTTGAGCCTTGGCCTGCTTTGTTTCTGCAGCATCACTATGGTTTGTTTACTTATTTATTTATTAAAATGTAGGCCTCATACTGTTCTGCAGCAAAAAGTCCTCCAGGAGGCTCGCGGGCAGTGTTCCCTCTAAGCTGAGTTAGTGTGAGCTAGCTCACAGTTTTTTAGCCTCCGGCTCACACATTTTTGTCTTCGCTCAGGAAAAATGGCTCCAGAGCAAACTAATTTAGGCAGTAGTCAAATCTCTCGCTCATGAATTTAATGCCGGTAGCTCACAAAGTAGAATTTTTGCTCACAAGACTCCACAGCTTAGAGGGAGCATTAAAGAGAGTCTTAGCAATAAAATACCATGAACAAAAACAATCAATAACAGAAATTGTGGATCAGTTTCAGTGGGTCAGGAAGATCTGCAACGATGCATGCTGGGCGACCCTGGGGCAGCCACCTTTTCTCTTAGCCTAACCGCCCTCACAGGGTTGATGCGAGGATAAAAGGGGACAAGGGAAGTGCCACCTGTGCCATGCCTGCATTTCTCGGAGCAGAGCCAAAATGTAATAAATAGATGGATTCAACTGGTGGCAGCAGTCAAAACTCAAATAAACCAGACACACATGTGATCAGAGCCATTTTTCTATTTTGCACCAAAGAAAACCAACTTACTGCGACCACCTCGGTCTCTTCCCCTTATCCTGTTTGTATCTGAAAGCAATAGGAGGGCTTATATTTTTCCAGCATTCAAAGCTTTCGGTGAAAATCTATGAGCTTAAATGTCAAGGGAGAACTCCCGCATTTCAGTTTTCTAACTGTCCAATGTGTGGATTCCTACACAAGTCTTCAAACACAAGGGAAAGCGGCAGGCCTCCCAGCTGCTTTTATAGAGCTGCTTGCAGATCTCTCCTCTTTTGCCTCTTCTTGCTTAAAAAGCAGTGCTACTTTTTTTTGTGTTGGAAAAAAAACTTTATAGGGGTTTTCTTTAATTAATTGCTGGGGAAAGCAGAAAAGGATCATCGTCTCAGTTTAAGCACAACAATCTCCAGTTCTTAATTACGGCACCTATCAGGGAAATGATCTTGGGTCAAGCCCGTTCGCTCTCCGAAACCTAATTACAAAAACAGCAGGTGGCTTCCCCAGCCCGAGCGTTTATGAGCGCCATCCATCAACTGGCACGGGCCGCTTGAGCACTCCCCAGTTATAAGGCTCGCTCATGTTAATGCTTCCGATTAAAGACTCGGTTCTCAGCAGTGCCCGGGCTCAGCTATTCTTCTGCAGCGTGAATTTCTCCCCTGCCTTGCAGATTTGTGTCAGGAAACGACTTCCTCCCGACTTTTTAAATGGGACGCTGTATTATTAATGGCTCGCCCGCCGAAGCTCAGCGGGAAAAGGAACGAAGCTTTGGTGGCAAAATAAAAATAAAATTTTAATAAAATCCGCTGTTACTTGCTTCCCAGGAGCCAGTAATCAACACCAGCTTCGGCGCCCAGAGGACGGGTTTTAAGCGAGCTAATAATACGGGAGGGAGTGAGCGAATAACGGGCATACTTACAGGACACTTGCAGCTATTAAAGAACTCTGGGTCAGAGATGGGATCCATCAGATAGGAACGGATCACATTAGCCCGCAGGCCTTTTGGCGCCTCGTTGGTCATTTTCACTCCGTTCTGGAGCACGGAGACAGGGAAATTGGGAGATGGGTAGCTGGTGAGCCACAGGCGGAAATCGGGATGAGTCACGTCCGGATTGAGCTCCTAGAAGAGATGAAGAGCCCATGTAAGGGGCAAACACGGGACTTCCAACTGAAGCGGCATTTCTCTTGACCTACCTTATACTGATTCTTAACGTACCAGTTTTAAGCAGATTACTAAAATATAGAAAGAGCTAGACCCCATTTCTGGCGTGTGCCGTGCCCCAGAGGGAGTCTGATACACTCAAGACAAATTCACAATAAAATGATCTATACTTGTGCTGAACTAATTTCCTTCTTAAACTTGTCTTAATGTCAAAACAACATTTTGTTATCCTCAAAAAGAGTCTTTAGGGCACTGCGGAGCCGGGAAAAGTACAGAAGTGGGCGACCGAGATGACTCAGGGCAGGGGTCCCTGACCTTTCTGAGCTTGTGGGCACCTTTGGAATTCTCACATGGCATTGTGGGCACAACTGTTACCAAAATTGGTTATTTGGTATTGGATTACAGAAATTGGCTTAGCAAGAGGTGGGTATCTGGGATCTCAACCTATGTATGCCAGGATTGTTCCCTTAGAGAAACTCAAAATGGAGGGGGAGCGGTGGCACAGTGGGTATATCCCACTGCCTTAACATCTGAACTGTGTTAGTTCAAGCCCCGCGCTGGTGTGAGCAGCCAGCCTGTTGTCCCCAGCTCATCGTCCACCCAGCGATTCGAAAGCCTCGGCGAGTAGATAAAATGGGAACCGCTCCTTAGCGAGGGCGGGCACGCCAATCTCCCTTCTGGGAGGGCGTTAGCTGACGGTCGGACGTCCTGATCAAGGCTTGTAAGACGAAACAAGCTTGCCGGCTACAGAAAGAACTCCTGCAATGGACGTTCCGGCCAGGCGGTGGCAGTGTGGCGATAGACATACGGGTCCTGGAGCCTGGCCAGCAAGCAGCTGAGCCGGAAAATGACGAAGCCAGCCAGAAGACGTTCTACACTGGGCAGTGTCGGCGTGTGCAATTAAAATGAATATATGTTGTCTTCCCTATCCCCTACAAACATTGTTAGTCCCTTGTCTATATTTGAGTAACTGTACATCGCTTTGAGCCCACTGGGGAAAGCGATTAATAAATGGATGATATTATTATTATTATTAAATAAACCAGTCAGATGTTCAACTGGAAGGGTTTTTACTGAAAAATATTTTTCCTGAAAAATAATAATTCAAAGTGGGGTGCTGTTTTCCCGAGGAATCCATTGTTATAAATTATGCATTACCTTTAGGGTGGGAGAAGACGTTTGCAAGTCAGTCTCACGATTCACTTCCAGATAGTTTCCCGAGCTGTTTTTCTGACTGGCATTCCTTTTTGGGTCATTTCTGGGCCAGGCAGTGTTGTTTCTATGCTATGATATTTCGAGTGATATTATAAGAAGGGTGTTTGGGCTTGTTTTCTCCCTGGCTGCCAGCTACCCATCTGTGGGAAGGGTCTGACTTGCTAACATGATCACAAAATGGCTGCCATGGGAGGCGGAGCCAGCCACAAAAGGGCTGCTGCAGCTTCAGTCTCACTGTGAAACTCCTTCTGATGTGGTGGCAACTGCTCCCAAAGCAACTTTTTAAAAAATCTTTGCAGCCAATCAACTCTCCAGTGGCCAATCAGAAGCCTTGCTGGGTAAAAAACCCACCTGGCCAAACCCACTTTCTAAAAGCACGTGGTGGGCACCAGGAAAGCTGTTGGTGGGCACCTTGGCATCCGTGGGCACCACGTTGGAGACCCCTGATTAAGAGCACCTCCCCTATGAGGAAAGGATAACGAGTCTGGGACTGTTTAGTTTATAAAGAAGTGGCTGGGGGGGGTTTGACAAAGCTTTATAAAACTCTGCATCGGGTGGAGAACGTGGATAGAGGGAGCTTTTCTCCTCTTTTGCGATTTTGTCACGCCCTCCCCTACGAGGGGGCCCAGCGTGGGGGGTACAATGAGATAGCAAAGCATGTAAAAACAATTTCATATCACTTCAATTAAAATCTAAAAACCCCAGTTAAACTGCATGATGGTAAAATGGTAACCTATATACCCAAGGGATATAACTGTGTGTGACTTCAGACGGGCCATCAGGATAATAATTGGGCCCAGCCCCCAACCAATAATGCAAGTTGGTATCATAATTCACATGGCTGGATGGGGGGGGGGGGCTGGTTAGAGCAGGGGAGGCCAGATGTGCTGAGACGCCCGCTGCCTCAAACGAACGCCTGGTGGAACGGCTCCGTTTTACAGGCCCAGCAGAATTCTAACAAGTTTTTTGAAAAGACTTTATTGAAAGCTGTTTATTCCTGTGGCCATCACTACATCCTCTGGCAGTGAATTCCACATTTTAATCACCCTCTGTGTAAAGCAGTACCTCCTTTTGTCCATCCTGAAACTACTGCCCATCAGCTTCACTAGATGCCCTTGTTCTAGTCAAGACGAAGAAAAATTTCTCCTTGTCCGCTCTCTCCACCCAGTGCACAATTTTATAATCCTCTATCATCGCCCCCCCCCCCCCCAGTCATCTCTCTTCCAAACAGAAAAGTCCCAAACTCTTCAGCCTTTTCTCATAGGGAAGGGGCTCCAACGCCCTCATCGTCTTGGTCGGCCCGCCTCTGTAACAACTATGAATGAGTTTCCAGTGGGGCTAACTGATAGATTTTCTTATTCATCAGCATTTGGAGAAGATGCCCTCCCCAAGCTCAGGAGAGGGGGGTAGAGATGAGTGTTTGGGGAAAAGACAACCACACAGTTGGGCCTCAAATGAAGGAAGGAGGAGCTGGGCTGAGGCATTCTGGGTGGGTGGGTGGGATGCTGGCATGTGTACGGAACTCATTCTCGGTATCTGACATGGGATAGCTCATCTGCTGCCATATTTTGCCTCCAATCTGTGTATTTTGTGAGTAAAGCAGCTATTGCAAGAATGAGTTTTGAAGGCTAGAGACCTTCAGAGGTGGGTTGGCCGTTGCCTGCCTCTGCGTGGCAGACCTGGACTTCCTTGGTGGTCTCCCATCCAAACACTAACCAGGGCTGACCCGGCTTGGCTGTCAAGCAAGATATAGATAGATAGAAATAGATGCCGATACGATGTCTCCAACATTCTTTCCTACAAACGGACCAGGCCAGATAGTGCTACCATTGAAACTTCTCGCCACTTAAGAAGAGGAGGAGGAGGAGGAAGAGATTGGATTTATACCCTGCCCCTCACTACCCGAAGGAGTTTCAGAGTGGCTTACAGACTCCTTTCCCTTCCCCTCCCCACAACAGATGCCCTGGTAGGTGGGGCTGAGAGAGCTCTTTTGAGGACTGCCCTTGAGAGAACAGCTCTGAGAGAACTTGTGACTGATGTATGGAAGTGGAGAGTGTCGAGAGCAGTTTTTTGCCCATCGCCCTGATCACGTCATCAGAAAAAAGGGCAAAAATCTCAAGGTCGTGCTCTGAAAGGGATGTTTAATGTAGCCTGTCAAACTGTGATCTAAGAAAACGGGGGGGGGGCACGATAAAGAGGTTTGGGGATCAAGCTACGTTGGGCTACTTTAAGCTTCTCTTTTGGAGTAGCTCTCTGAGGTTGTTGCCGCCTGTTTTGTTTATCATCTGGCTGCTGGCCACACCCCCATCTCTCGTCTTTTGGGTCAGCTGCTGCTGTTTGCTTGTTTTTTGGGGGGGGCACTCTCGGGTACACGGGCATCTTCTGTGTTCTCTATTTCGGGCTGTTTTCCAGCACGCCAAACAGGGAAGCCATCCTGGAAGAGATGTTGACCAGGATGGAGATTTGGCACTACAGCGGTGCCTCCTGGGTCGTGACGCCATGCGTATCCGTGCCAGGCCAGTTAGATGAGCACAGCTGCAGTTATCAAGAGCAGGCCAGCCCGCTCACAAAAGCTTCTATCTGGAAGCAACCTCAGTCCACAAAATTAAAAGTGCGGGAAGCGGGAAGGAGGGAGAAGAGCTACTGTGCCACACGGGGGACTGCTGTGGAGGGTCGCCAGTTCTCCAGCTGCCCGGCAGTGTACCGAAGGGATCGGTCAGATGGCATGCATCTCCCTGGGACCAGATGTGCTGGATCAATGTGCCCAGATGGGTGTCCTTTCGCCTCTTCCCTGTTTGCGTATCTCTGGTCAAGGCGTCTCTCTCGCCTTGTCCTCTCCGTGCTTCAGAATATTCCATCTGCTAATTACTTTCTTGCCTCTCAGAATCTTGTTTTGTGGGGCAATTCCCCTTTCTCTATCCGCTGTATCAGCGCTTGCCCCTCTCACTTTCTAAGGTTGTTTGTCGCTTAGACTATCTCACCGGAGCACCACGCCACGTCTGCTTTGGAATTGCAGCTGTGCATTATGACTCCACTGCTCTGGTCACCGTATCTCCAAAAGGACACTGCAGATCTGAGGAAAGTACGGAGGCGGGCGACCAAGAGGTTGAAGGGCTTGGAGCCCCTTCCCAAGGAGGAAAGGCTGGAAGAGTCTCTGGGACTTTCCAGTTGAGAAGAGACAACCGAGGGGGAAACATGATAGAGGGTTGATCGGATTATGCACGGGGCGGAGAGAGTGGACAAGGAGAACTTCTTCTCCCTCTCCCCAAATACTAGAACTGGAGGGCACCTGATGAAGCTGATGGGCAGTAGGTGCAGGACGGACAAAAGGAAATTCGACTTCACACAGGGAGAGTGATTAAAATGTGGAGTTGGCTGCCAGGGAATGTAATGATGGCCACGGGAATAGACAGCTTTAAAAGGAGATTAGACAGATTAGACAGCCATGTGTATCAATGGCTACTTGCCATGATGACTGAGGGGAACCTCCCCATTCAGAGGCACTAATCCTCGGAATCCCAGAGCCAGGAGGCAGCATCAGGGGAAGGCCTCGGCCTCTCTGCCCTGGTGTTGGACCTCCATAGGAACTGGTCGGCCCCTGTGTGAGACAGGAGGCTGGACTACATGGACTATTGGTCTGATCCAGCAGGGCTCTTCTGAGGTTCTTAGGAAGGCCTTGGCCTCTGTCTCCAGTTGTTGGCCCTCCAGAGGAACTGGTTGGCCACTGTGTGAGACAGGAGGCTGGACTAGATGGACCCTCACTGGAATGATCCAGCAGGGCTCTCCTGATGTTCTTCTCAGGGAAAAGCCTCGGCCTCTCTGCCCCGTTGCTGGTCCTCCAGAGGAACTTGGTGGCCACTGGGTGAGACGGGATGCTGGACTAGAGGGACCCTCACTGGTCTGATCCAGCAGGGCTCTCCTGATGTTCTTCTCAGGGGAAGGCCTCGGCCTCTCTGCCCTGTTGTTGGTCCTCCAGAGGAGCTGGTTGGCCCCTGTGTGAGACGGGAGGCTGGACTAGATAGACTATGGGTCTGATCCAGCAGGGCTCCTCTTATGTTTGCATGTCCCCTTCCTTATTAATGCCTTCACCTTCTCTCTAACTTACAGCCGCACCCTACACCTATTACCTTGGAAATAAATCCAGCTTTATTCATTAGTTCCATAAGACTGGGCGACTTAGCAGCACACTGGGCCAGATGTGTTCTGTATCATGCAATATTGTGTGTGGCTTTTACCTCGCACACTTTTTCCAGCATCGGCATCCACGAGGTGGCCAGATGGCAGTTCTGCAGGACCACCCAGCTGCCCTCCTTCACCGCCTTCTCGATCATGCGCATGGCGATGGGGCCCTGGCCTTGGCCGAGGGACAAGGAAGTCAGCTTGGAGGCACCAAAGCCCTGCATGGACAAGACGTTTGTACAATGGGGGCAGGTGGACAAAAGCCGCCCGAGGCCCAGGTATTTATTTAGCACGTGCTTACGTCACCTCTCCAGGAACCGACACAAGGCAATAATAAAAACAAAACATTAAAAATATGAATTATAATCTGGCATTAAAAACCAAGCCTACCATCCAAACATAGATCGGGGTCTCCAACCTTTTTGAGTCTACGGGCACCTTTGGAATTCTGACACAGGATAGTGGGCGGAGCCAGCCACAAAATGGCTGCTGCAGGAGGCGGAGCCAGCCACAAAATGACTGCCGTGGATTACCTTCAGACACACAGTGAAGGTCCGTGTGCTGCGGTGGCAGCTGCTATCAAAGCAACGTTTTTTAAAAATCCGCACAAGCCAATTGAAACTCCAGTGGCCAATCAGAAACTTCCCTGGGCGAAAGCCCCATCTGGCCCCACCCACTGTCCAGAAACACCTGGACGATACCAGGAAGGGTGTCGGTGGGCTCCATGATGACCTTCGACAACCACGTCGGGGGGGCCTAAAACAGACCCTGGGAACAGACCACTGACAGCTTAAAATAACGGTCCCCACGCTAAAATAGTACTAAAAACCCAACCCCTTAATTAAAAAGCCCAGGTGAGCAGAAATGTTTTGGCCTGGAGTCTGACAGAGAGCAACGTAGGCACCAGGTAAGCCTCGAGGAGGAAAGGCATTCCAGAAGCAAGGTGCTGCTGCTGAAAAAGCTCCGTCTCTCCTCCTGCGGAGTGCGGGGGGTTGGACTAGATGACCTGCAAGGTCCCTTCCAACTCTTAACATTCTGTGATTCTCTCGTCGCCACCGTCCTCACCTCTGAAGACACAGGGGCACAGAGGGCGGGGGCTCGAGAGGCAGAGCTTAACCGGTGGGGAGAACAATACGGGAGGAGTAGCGCAAGAGACATTGTGGTGCAGACCAGTGTTCCCTCTAAGTTGAGTTAGTGTGAGCTAGCTCACAATTGTTTAGCCTCCGGCTCACAATTTTTTTTTCTCAGCTCAGGAAGGATGGCTCCAGAGCAAACTAATTTATGCAGTAGCCAAATCGCTCGCTCACAACTTTAACACCAGCAGCTCACCAAGTAGAATTGTTGCTCACAAGACTCCACAGCTTAGAGGGAGCACTGGTGCAGACCGTTCTGCATCTGCTCACTGGATGACGCTGTGGCACCTTGTTAAACACGTGCAACCATCAAGTGTCACACAGAGAATGGGGTGAATCATCTGTCTTTCAGGGAATCTCCCCCCTATTAAGAAGATTCCCATATAGGACCCAGATCTCCCAGAGGAGTTGTGAAACTTCACTCATCACTACCTGAGAAGTGGTTGACGCTCAAATAAAACTGAACGCAATTTAACACAGATCTCGCAACACAGCGCAAAAATGGTCTCCAGCAGCAAGCATAGTCTTCTACAGTAGATGCGACACAAAACTTATATATCAAAAAGCCCTTGGAGAGACATACTTGATGGACAATATCTCTGACAAAATTAACAAATCCCTATTGAAACCAGTCAAAACAGATTTTGATAGCAAATGGTTCCCGGTATTAGAATTTATATCACGGCATGAATTCATATCACCAGATTGGAAACAATTGCAGAAATGGCTCTAAACACTGACCCTCTCAAAAAGTGTACCATATTGTATTCCCATTGCTTTAATAATTTCTCTCTACCTTAACGATATGAGTTACCATTTTTTATTACGCTTTAATGTATTATAAGTAGCACTAAAGAAGAAATCTGGGACTCCTCTCCACATGGAAATACACTGTCGATTGATTGTTCATAGATAGTTTTGTTAAACTGCTGAATTTCATTACACTAGTTGTACTATATTGCAATAAAAATTACACCAAAAAAAAGTCCTTGAAAAGAACTCTTGTTAATTGGTTGCAATGAAAAGAATAAAGGGTCTTGGATGCATTTCAGACTAAAAAGAAAAAAGGGGGGGGGGGAGAATCAAGCTTAATTCCTACTTTGGGAAATCCTGAAGCGGCTCACTCACTGACATAGCATGTCAGTGCTGACGAATAATTCAGACCACTGACGAATAATTCGGAATTGGTGGTCTCAGGTTTAACATGGGTCAAGATGGGTCACCGTGTTTGTCTTTAGCAGTAGAAAAGAGCAAAAGAGCCCCGGAGCACCTTAAAGGTAAAGGTAAAGGTTCCCTTGCTCAAAAGCCAGTCGAGTCCGACTCTAGGGTTGCGGTGCTCATCTCCGTGTCAAAGCCGAAGAGCCAGCGCTGTCCAAAGACGTTTCCGTGGTCATCTGGCCGGCATGACTAAACACCAAGGCTGTGCACGGAACGCTGTTACCTTCCCACCGAAGTGGTACCTATTTATCTACTTGCAATTTCTTGCTTTCGAACTGCTAGGTTGGCAGGAGCTGGTACTAGAGACGGGAGCTCACTCCGTCATGCGGCAACTCGGGCCTCGAACTGCTGAACTACTGACCCTCCACAGCCTGCAGTTCAGCGTCTTAACCACTTGAGCCACCGCAGCTCCTGGGAGCACCTTAAAGACTAACAAACAGTTGTGGCGCTCACGACAGCTCCTCCCCTGCCACAAAGCTTGTTAGTCTTTAAGGTGCTACTGGACTCTTGATGAGGTTTAACACGTGCATCATCTTAATGGTTTTACACACACACACACACACACACACATGCACACACATGCACGTACCTGGTCATCAGCAAACTTGAGAAGGGCCGCCATAGGATCCGCCCCAGGAGACAGCACAAAAATCAGCGGTGCGCAGCAGTGACTATCACCAAAGGCTTTGGACAAATCAAAAGGAGGTGGCTCAATGAACATCCGTCCCAAGTCCCCAGTGATGAACTCCTGCACCATTGGAATGATCTAGGGAAACCAAGGTTGAAAAAGGGAGTAAAGGCAGTTCGATGATCGACAGCCGGTGGTGGGATGCAGACACGCCCATCAGGTGTATGAATCGACATTTACACAAATGCTGCCAGGTGTCTTTTAGTTCCTTCATGGACGGGCAGGTAAAGGAACGAGTTAAACCTGCCCATTGACAACAAAGGGAGGAATAGCAAAGTAGATATGAAAGAATGGGATTCACATCATTGGCCCCGGTCACACGGAGGGTTTGCAGTAGGCACGAATGTCAGGCGGATCTTCGGGACGCGATCACACCGCGACATCTGGGAAGTGTAGCGCACCCGTGGCCAACCCGTGGCGTTCTGCCAAAGACACGTAGTAGGAAAGTACTGCGGAAGGTGCACTAGTATCTGTGAAACGCGGGGTGGGGCGTCTGATCATGGGAGCGCTAGTATCCCGTGGCATCTGGCGCCCGTCCACATCCCGTCGCAAACCGGATGTTTTTCGTAAGCGCATGCGCACAAACATGTAACTGAAAGCAGTGCTGCTCTGCAGAACTGCGCATGCGCACAAACGCGAAACACTTGCCGCGCTGCTTCTTTGCCACGCTCAGGCATCGCCGTGTGATCACCAGCTAACAACCTAAGCGCGAAGCCTTGGGGGACCGTGTGATCGGGCTACAGCACTTTATTTTGCTCCGGGGCGAACAGCCACACCTCCCCCCTGCGTTATCTGGCCCATGTGACCAGGGCTGTTATGTTTACACACAAACACAACTTTCTAAACGAATTACTGCTGTGTTGGTCTGTCTGCAGCAGTAGAAGAGAGCAAGAGTCCAGGAGCACCTTCAAGATGAACAGGGCACGAGCTTTCATGAGAAACTTCTGAAGTGAGCCGTGGCTCTCTAACGCTCCTCCCCTGCCACAATTTTTTTAGTCTTTGAGGTGCTCTTTTGCTCTTTTCTGCTGCCCTTTATGTTCGTCATGTTCTGATCCCTCCTTAAGAAACTGAGCTGGCAAAATGGGCTAAGATGGTGATCTGAAGGAACACTCCCAGCCAAGGCTTCTTGGCAGAATATCCAAATAGGAGAAAATGGACCATAAATGTGTCAAACAGCCGGGTGGGAGGTGTCTTCTAGGGTTACCAAGTACTTACCGCAATTTGGCAGGGGAAACATGATCCCCGGCCGGAACATTCCTCCCTGTAACGCACCACGCCATCGGCAGTAAGTGATGCCGGGTGACGCTCTGGCAATGGGGCTGAAAATTCGATGATACCATCGAGTTTCCAGCCCCATCGCCAGAGCGTCACCCGGCGTCACTTCCTGGTGACGGCATGGTGCGGCACGTCTGTTGTCCGCACAGGAATGGTCCTGGGAAGAAGGAATGGTCCCGGGTGGGGCTGTCGAGTCCCCCTTGGCCACCGGCAGCCGGGGGGGGGCGGGCGCTCCGGATTGGAAAACTCCTGCTGTGGGTTATAATGGCACCCTCCAGAGCACCCCTTTTCTCCAGGGGAAGTTGTTTTTGTAGTCTGGAGATGAGCTGTGATTCCGGGGGATCCCAGGTCCCACCTGCTGGCATCTCTGCAGGCAGAGGTCTTTCATATCACTCACCACCAATGTGCCCTCTGTGGAGTCTTGTGAGCAAAAATTCAACTTTGTGAGCTACTGGCATTAAAGATGTGAGTGAGCCATTTGGCGACTGCATAAATTAGCCTGTTCTGGAGCCCTCCTTCCTGAGCTAAGACAAAAATGTTTGAGCTGGAAGCTACAAAAAACTGTGAGCTAGCTCACACTCAGCTTAGAGGGGACACTCCCTCCCGCCCTGGTCCTTTTAGGTGGAGATGCCGGGGGCTGAAAGTGGACCTCCTGCGTACCAAGCAGATGCTCTTACCACTGAGCCACACGCGGCCCCTCTCAACAGCCACACATCTCTCGGTGAGGTTTCGGAAAGATGACGTGGCCAGCCATAAGCTTAGCTGTAGTGGACCTGCAAGGCTAAAGAAGAGCTGGCCGAGGCGGGCCTGTTCCGAGACCCGTCGGGAACCCGGATTCGAAACGAAGCACGCGGTATGTTGCGTGGCCGTTGAGCCCGAAGGCCTTTCCGCTTTCTCCTTAAGCACTGAGTGCCACACACACCCCCGCTGAGCTCCCCCCCCTCCCCAACAAGTGGACTTACTTTGTCAGGCCGGAGGCAGCGGATGACCAGCATCCTCTGGAACCCGCTCAGTTTCTCTTGCCAGATCTCGGGAAAGGCTTCGTGCTGCGGCTCCTGCAAACACACACACAGGCGTCTGTTTGGCTTTGCCGCTCGAGAGCAAAGGATAGGACCGTCTGGAAGTCTGTCCGTAGCAACAAAGGAAACATCTGATGGAGGATCCTGTGAAAACTAGGGCTACAGCAATCACACAGCCAACGCTCTCAAGAGCCGCGTCAGGGCATCCCCAGAGCTCTGGTTGTCAAGAGCCGACCAGGTGGGCTGCATTGGGTTGCAGTCGGATCCCTACCAGTCAAATCCTGTTGCACCGTCCACTGGATATTCGACCCTCATGGATAGTACTGACTTATTGTATTCCGGCGGGCAGCCATGTTGGGCTGAACCAGCAGAACAAAGTCGGAGTCCAGTAGCACCTTTCAGACTAACAAAGTCGAACTCTGGGTGTCAGCTTTCGCGTGCATGCAGGCAGGCTTCTTCAGATACATGCAGATAACGTGCGTGCAGACAAAAGCCGACACACAGAATAAAACTGTGTTGCTCTGAAAGGTGCCACTGGGTCACTCAGACTTGGTTGACTTATTCTGTGTAATCCTTATTCTACCTAATCCACACCTTGCATCTCGGCAAGGTTGACTTATTCTGTGTGATCCTTATTCTACCTAATCCACCTTGCATCTCGGCAAGAAAGGCGGATGAGAAATAACATAAATATGATACAATTAAATAAACTCACTTGTGTGTCAAGGGGTCTGTTGACTGTTACACAACGTTTCCCCCCCCCCCAGCTTTTGGAAGAGGGTAATTTGGCCTACCCATACCCTTTGGGGGGGGGGTTCCCCCCCTTAAAGCAGGGTTTGCACTCCCGGCTTTAGATTTCAACACGTGAATTGACACATTTGGATACCCCCCCCCCATTACATCTAGCTCGGACCTCTGGGGTTCGGGAACAGCATGCTTCTTCCAGACCTACCACTGCCGTGCCCTACAACAGCTCCATAAAAAGAATAAAGAAATCAGTACTTTATTCAGTAAATTCAACACAAATATACGATGGTGTGCCTTGACTACAGTGTGGTATAGTGGCTATGGCAGGGGTCCCCAAACTTTTTAAGCCTGCGGACACCTTTGGAATTTTGACAGAAGCAGGTGGGCCCAGCTACAAAATGGCTGCCGAGGGAGGCGGAGTCAGCCACACACTGAAGAGGCTTTGCAGGGGAGATCAGCTGCTGCTAAAACCACATTGTCAGACATCTGCACAGCCGATCTGAAGCCTTGCTGAGGAAAAGGCCCAGGTGACACCACCCACTTTCAACAAACCCTTGGCAAGTGACAGCAAAAGTGTTGGCAGGGCACCACGTTGGGGACCCGTGGGCTAGAGCATCCAGCTAGGTCTGGGACCCACCGGTTCAGATCCCCACTTTTGCATGGGAGCCTGGGGGCGTGACTTTGGGCCAGTCACAGAGTCTTAACCTAACCTACCTCACTAGAGGTGCCAGGTCTCTTCAAGAAGCCAGTGGGGGGATGGGGGGGGGGGCTCCGGGAGCCAGAAGCATCACCCCCCAACATACCGCTGTCACCCAGAAGTGATGTTGTGCATCATTTGGGAATGATATAGGCACGCTGGGGGCAACACTCTGGTTTTTGGACAAAACTCTTATGGTAAAATCACCCTCAAACCATAGAGTTTTGCCCGGAAAGCAGAGTATCACCCCCCCTGGATGTCAACAGGTGACATCAGAAGAAGAAGAAGAAGAAGAGATTGGATTTATACCCCACCCTTCACTTGGAGTCTCAGAGCGGCTTACAAACTCCTGCCCCTTCCCCTCCCCACAACAGACACCCTGTGAGGTGGGTGGGGCTGAGAGAGCTCTGACACAAACTGCTCTTTTTCAGGGACAGCTGTGCCAGAGCTTGTGACTGACCCAAGGTCACATCAGCAGGTGCAAGTGGAGGAGTGGGGAATCAAACCCGGTTCTCCCAGATAAGAGTCCGTGCACTTAACCACTACACCAAACTGGCTCACCAAAATCAGCACGTCACCCAATGCTGCTGGGGGGGGGGGGGAGTTTCCTCCCACCAGCCAGTTGGCTGGCGGCGGGCAGAAGCCCACACAAATGCGGGATCCCCCACCCCAAACTGGGGGATGGTAACCCTATGCTTCATAGGGGTTTTGTCAGGATCGAACGGAGGAGAGGATGATGTCAGCTGCTTTGGGTTCCCTCTGGGAAGAAAGGCAGGGTATACACGGAGCAAATAAATAAATACGCCAAGTGTGAATACATCCGAATGGGAAGATGTGTTTGAAGATGGAGCGGATCTATTCTCTCTTGCTCCAGATTGCAAGACTAGATCTAAGGGTGGAAATTACAAGGGAGTCGATACCGGCTCAAAATCAGGAGGAACTTCCTAACTTTAAGAGTGGCTGAGCAGTGGAACAGACTGCCTCTGGGGGAGGTGGTGGAGGCTCCTTCACTGGACTTTTTCAAGCGGAGGCTGGACGACCATCTTCCAGGTATGTTGTAGGGCTCTCTTTCGGCTCTGCTCCTGCAGAGTGCAGGGGGTTGGACTAGATGACCTGCAAGGTCCCTTCCAACTCTAACATTCTATGATTCCATAGCAGAGCAATTAAAGTCATTTCCTCGAAAGAATGAAATGCAGTTTTAATAAATCGTCCATGCCCAGCATCCGCTGAGTTGCAAAATAAGGGCCAGTGTGCAGGATGTAGGATTATAAACCGCGGTCCTAGGGGCACTTTCCTGGGAATAAGCCTCACCAAATAACATGAGACTTACATTCAAGTAGTCCTGTTTAGGATTGCAACCTTAAAACTGAGGCAAGGAACTGACTTCAGGAATTGGCAGAAGTTGGCTAAAGTCCCCCAGATATGTCCCAGAACTGTTTTAATAATGTATCGATAAGGAAACCAAAATCTGCCAATGTCTGTCACATCCCCAAATTTATATTATCAATGGGGGCATACCCAATTCTAGCAACTGTATCGGTAGACTAGATAAAGGTCAAATTAATGCCAACACAATGGCAGTATAGATAGCAGGAGTTTTTAAAAAACATTTTAAAAGACTTCCTTGGTATGCAGCTTCCAATTAAGAAATGGCATCGTGACACGGTTTCATTCCAAAGTCATTAACACAAATACTTTTGCGTAATGACTCCTCCTGATAGGGAATGTTTAATAGCAAGACAATTGTTATGCAGACACAGCTTTCGGCTTCAAATTAAAAATGTGATCTTTTTCACAGAGTGACACGATAAGCTTTCACACAAACAATTTCTCACGGCAGAGAAGTAAAGGGACAGCGAGAAGAAACTCGGGGTCTGTGTGAGGTTTCTTTTGAAGGGTGTCTGGAATGGCAGCAACGGGGGATCCCAACTGGGATATACCATAAGACAAAGAACAAGGTGAATCCAGAATAGCAGAAACTTGAACGTGGATCGTCAGTTAGTGAGAACAATGTATGACTCTCAATCATAGAAGAACCATCAAGATTTTATAACTAAGAGTTCTTCCTTGACATTTATACCTTGTTCTCATTAACTGACGATCCGCGTTCAAGTTTCTGCTACTCTGAATTCACCTTGCTATTTGTATTATTTTATAGCACATGTGACAATCCTACTTTTTGTAATAATTTTGCCATTAATATTGAAAATTCATTATACATGTAACATTTAGTGACTTCTTGCAGTGTTTCTTCTAGTTTTGAGTTGTATGAAGGCACTGTAATCCTTCCTATGCCTTTTGGGATACACCATAAGGCACATTCGTGGCCAATGTGACATTCGATGTCACTGACTTCTGACTTGCTGCTGTGCCCGTTCCAAATGCTGATGTTAACTCTTAATAATAAGGAGGAGGAAGAGGAGATTGGATTTATACCCTGCCCTTCACTCAGAGTCTCAGAGCGGCTTACAAACGCCTTTCCCTTCCCCTCCCCAGAACGGACACCCTGTGAGGTAGGTGGGGCTGAGAGAGCTCTTTTGAGAACTGCCCTTTCAAGAACAGCTCTGAAAGAACTATGGTTTGCCCAAGGTCATCCAGCAGCTGCGAGTGGAGGAGTGGGGAATCAACCCCGGTTCTCCCAGATTAGAACATAAGAACATAAGAGATGCCAATGTTGGATCAAGCCAAAGGCCCATCCAGTCCAACACTCTGTCACACAGTGGCCAAAAATACCAGGTCCCATCAGGAGGTCCACCAGTGGAGTCCGCACACTTAACCCACCACACCAAACTGGCACGCAGTGGCTTGGGACCAGGACACCTGAAAGACCACCTCCCTCCACCCACATGACCTGCCTCGGTCTACAGCAGGGGTCCCCGTGATGCCCGCCAAGTGTTTTTAGGAAGTGGGCATGGCCAGGTGGGACTTCTGATTGGCTGTGCAGATGAAAGGCGTCCTGTTAAACAGAACGTCTGCATTAAATGTTGAAGAGTTACTGTGAAAGTTAGGCATTTTGTTGGCTCCACCTCCCGCAAAAGCTATTTTGTTGTTGCGCCCAACGGACCAGGATTAGAATCAGAGCAGTCCTCCCAGGCTCGAAATAGTTGAGGACCCCCAGTCTAGAGATATGTTAGTACTGCTCCTTGAGAGCTTCCAGTGGATGTGAAGCAGGCCGGCCCCCGGTGTATGGCTACCGGCCCCCCTTGGGAACCCGTGTCAGATGTAAGGTGTGTCCTGGCCCGGAGCTGACTGGCTTCATGCAAAAGAAAATTTCCTTTGCCTCGAAATAAGCTGAAGAACAGTGGCTCTGTCCCAAAGATGGAAGTGCTGATCACCGCATTTGTGACATGTGGCAGCTGCAAAGCCAAACTACTGCTCCAGGCACACCTGCTGGGAGTCGGGGATTTGGGGAGTGGAGTTTGGATGAACTAGCCAAAAGGGAACAAGGGAAATCCGGCAACGTACCAGGCTGTCGTAGACCAGTTTCCAACCTTCCTTCAAGCGCATGAATTCCTTTCGGATGGATTTGAAGGTCGCTAATTCATCCAGGCGGCAGATTTCGTCCCAGGACTTCTGGGGCAACCAGGGGCAGGGGTTAGAATAGGGGTTGTCTAGGCCGATCCCCCCCGTGAGCAGGAATTTCCACTCCGGTTCGTCGACCTGCAATAAAATCGAAAAATAAATTTGGGGACTTTGGAAACTATGCATAGAGCAACATTAGAGCTACACTATGTGTTTAGTGAGATGAGGAGGCTTTCCTGAATGAACAATGCAAAGTAATAGAGGAAAACAATAGAATGGGAAGGACTAGAGATTTCTTCAAGAAAATTGGAGAAATCAAGGGAGCATTCCATGCAAAGTTGGCCATGATAAAGGACAAAAATGGGAGGGACCTAACAGAAGCAGAAGAGATTAGGAAAAGATGGCAAGAATACACAGAAGAACTATACAAGAAAGACCTCGATGTCCTTGACAACCACGACAGTGTAATCACTGACCTTGAGCCAGACATCTTAGAATCCAAAGTCAAATGGGCCTTAGAAAGCATTACTAACCACAAAGCTAGTGGAAGTGATGGTATCCCAGCTGAGCTATTCAAAGTCTTAAACGATGATGCTGTTAAAGTGCTGCACTCAATTTGCCAGCAAATTTGGAAAACGCAACAGTGGCCAAGGGTTGGAAAGGATCAGTATACATTCCAATCCCAAAGAAGGGCAATGCCAAGGAATGTTCAAACTATCGCACAATTGCACTAATTTCACACGCTAGCAAGGTCATGCTAAAGATCCTACAAGCTAGGCTTCAGCAGTACGTGGACAGAGAACTGCCGGAAGTACAAGCTGGGTTTCGAAGAGGGAGAGGAACCAGAGATCAAATTGCCAACATTCGCTGGATTATGGAGAAAGCAAGAGAGTTCTAGAAAAACATCTACTTTTGCTTCACTGACTACGCTAAAGCCTTTGATTGTGTAGATCACAACAAACTATGGCAAGTCCTTAAAGAGGTGGGAGTACCAGACCACCTCACATGTCTCTTGAGAAACCTGTATAAGGGCCAAGAAGCGACAGTTAGAACCGGATACGGAACAACTGATTGGTTCAGCATAGGAATAGGAGTATGACAAGGATGTATATTGTCCCCTTGCTTATTTAATTTATATGCAGAGTACATCATGCGAAATGCCAGGATGGATGATTCAGAAGCCGGAATTAAGATTGCTGGGGAAAAGATCAACAACCTCAGATATGCAGATGATACCACTCTAATGGCAGAAAGTGAAGAGGACCTAAAGAGCCTCTTGCTCAGAGTAAAAGAGGAGAGCGCAAAAGTGGGCTTGAAGCGCAACATCAAAAAAACTAAGATCATGGTATCTGGCCCCATCACTCCGTGGCAAATAGAAGGGGAAGTCGTGGAAGTAGTGACAGACTTCACGTTCCTGGGATCCCAGATCACCGCAGACTCTGACAGCAGCCATGAAAAGACGCCTGCTCCTTGGGAGGAAAGTGATGGCGAACCTAAACAGCATGATAAAAAGTAGAGACATCACCCTGCCAACAAAAGTCCATATGGTCAAAGCAATGGTATTCCCAGTAGTCATGTATGGCCGCGAGAGTTGGACTATAAGGAAGGCCAAGCACCGAAGAATGGATTCTTTTGAATTATGGTGCTGGAGAAAACTCTTGAGAGTCCCTTGGACTGCAAGAAGATCGAATCAGTCAATCCTAAAAGAAATCGACGTTGACTGTTCCCTGGAAGGCCAGATTCTGAAGCTGAAGCTCAAATAATTTGGCCACCAAATGAGAAGGGAGCACTCACTGGAGAAGACCCTGATGCTGGGAAAGACTGAAGGTCAAAGAAGAAGGGGACAGCAAAGGATGAGATGGTTAGACAGTGTTATCGAGGCAATGAACACGAAATTAAGCAAACTCCGGAGCACGACGGAAGACAGGAGGGCCTGGCGTGATCTGATACTTCTCCAGGGAGTATTTGAGCTTCAGTTTCATTATCTGGCCTTCCAGGGAACAGTCAGGGTTGATTTCTTTTCTAACAGCATAGCACCACTCTAATCTTGCCCTCTATGGCACTATAGCTTGACAGAAGAGGCAGCTCGCTGGCCTGCTCCCTTCTATGCTACAGCACCACCAAGGCAGGTGCCAAGCTATCCGTCCCTTGGGGACAAGGTGGGCCCAAGAAGCCGGCAGGGTTCCACACGATCCGGTCAAACCCCCGACTCTCATCTGTCACTGAGGCACAGGCTAAATCTCTGATCTCCGACGACACTGTGCGGAGGTCAGCAGAATACTCTCATGAAGGAGGGAGGAAGCCGTAATTAGTAATAAATTATTGCATACAATACCCGATAGCGGTCCAACGGTTATGGGGACTGACCTTCCTTTCGTGCTTCAAGAGGTTTACATCCAGGCAGAAGGAGAACAGCAGCTTGTCTTTCTCAAAGAGCGAACGGCAGACGTTTACATAGAGGGAGTACGTAAAGTGATCCTTGAGTATCTTCAGTCTGTATTAAGGGAAAACAAGAGGAAAAGCCAAATTAATCTCACTTTGCCGTTTGCCATTTAATAAACACAATTAGAAACCACTTAGATTTCAGTTGTTCTGGTCAATTTGCTCACAAACAATCAAAGATGCTCATTAACTGCGGGCGCCAACTTGGGAGCAGATGAATGGAAAACATTTCAGTGGAACTCGAGATGACAGTCATTTTTTTGCAGGGATAATCAGGGAATCAGAACATGTGGGAGAAGGATAGTTTTCGAATGGCAGAAAGCCCGCCTCTGGAGTAGGATCCTGTGGTTTGCCAGCTCTTCAGCTTCTTAGTGTTTTGCTTACATAGATAAGAACATAAGAGAAGCCAATGTCGGATCAGGCCAATGGCCCATCCAGTCCAACACTCTGTCACACAGTGGCCAAAAACACCAGGTGCCATTGGGAGGCCCAGCAGTGGGGCCAGGACACTAGAAGCCCTCCCACTGTTGCCCCCCCCAAGCATCAAGAATACAGAGCATCACTTGCCCCAGCCTGAGAGTTCCTATCTACACCTCTGCTCCATATGCTTATCTAATTCCCTCTTGAAGCTGTCCATGCTTGTAGCCGCCACCACCTCCTGTGGCACTGAAATCCATGTGTTCATCAGTCTTTGGGTGAAGAAGTACTTCCTTTTATCCGTTCTAACCCGACTGCTCAGCAATTTCATGGAGTGCCCACGAATTCTTGTATTGTGAGAAAGGGAGAAAAATACTTCTTTCTTGACCTGTTCTATCGCATGCATAATCTTATAAACCTCAATCATGTCACCCCTTAGCCATCGTTTCCCCAAGCTGAAGAGCCCCAAGCGCTTTAACCTGTCAGGTTCCACAGCCAACAACTGAGCACACGCTTATCAGAAAGGTTATACTTTGTTGCAGAGCTATAGATGCATTAACAAAGTCACTGTTAGGAATGGCGTCACCCCTACAAGCATAATGGGATATAGGGTATTCATATGCACACACACCCTTCCTTAGGCCAATTAGCCACATTCCCGCGCACAGGAGAAGGAGCCCCAGGCCGAAGCTGGGAACCGAAAGTGCTCCCACGGTTCCCTGAATCCCAGACACTACACACCACCTGCAAGGCCATAGATAAGCAAGCGTTACAGAAGCACAGAAGGAATGCAGCAGTACTTGGTACACAGGGCAAGCAAGCACCCCACCCCCAACCATTATGGCAGCATAGCTGACATAACCTTTCTTCACAAGGAAAGTGTTCCAACCCTTTTGTCATTCGAGCTGCCCTTTTCTGCACTTTTCCCAATGCTATAATATCCTTTCTGAGGTGTGACCAGAATTGCACACAGTATTCCAAATGAGGTCGCACCATCGATTTATACAAGGGCATTATGATACTGGTTGATTTGTTTTCAATTCCCTTCCTAATAATCCCCAGCATAATATTGGCCTTTTTTTATTGCAGTCGCACACTGTCTCAACATTTTCAGTGAGTTATCTACTACGACTCCAAGATCCCTCTCTTGGTCAGGCTCTGCCAGTTCGGACCCCATCAACGTGTTTTTATAGTTAGGATTTTTGGCCCCAATGTGCATTACTTTGCACTTGGCCACATTGATGCCCACTCGCCCATCCTCGACAGATCCCTTTGGAATGCCTCACAATCCTCCCTGGTTTTCACCACCCTGAACAATTTCATGTCATCTGCAAATTTAACCACTTCACGTGTCCTTTTATCCCGTGGCTATTGAGCTTACCTAGGAGCCTTTGATGAGGAACTTTATCAAAAGCTTTCTGGAAGTCAAGGTAAACAACACCTATTGGGTCCCCCTTGTCCACATGTTTGTTCACCCCCTCAAAGAACACTTAACAAGTTAGTGAGACAAGATCTTCCCTTACAGAACCCATGCTGAGTCTGCCTCAAGTTAAAGGATTTATGCATGACCAATCCAAAAAACTGTTTGGGGGAGCAGGGACATGGGGGGGGCTGTGACATCATCTGGTGAAACCATAGAGTTTGCAACATTTCCTAGAGCTACCCTACATCATTTCTGGGGTTTCCCTGAAAGTGACGTGGCAGCGCAGACAACACTGAAGGTTTTTAGGTTTTGGTTTTAATTCTCCTGCTCCCTGTGCGAGTGGTGGTGGGCAACTTCGGCTGCCGGCAGGAGACGAGACTTAGAGCACCTGTTCTACGAGAAGTCCTGATCTCACCAACCCAAAAAACGGAATTTCTTTTCTCAGTTACATTTTTATCCCATCCTTCTTTCAAAGCCCTCAGGCTCTCCTCTTACTCTCTCTGGGGAAATGTTCCACTGGGTCCCAATCCAACACTCTGTGTCACACAGTGGAAAAAATACCAGGGGCCATCAGGAGGTCCACCAGCAGGGCCAGAACTCCAGAAGCCCTCCCACGGTTGCCCCACCCAGGCACCAAGAATACAGAGCATCACTGGCCCCAGACATAAGAACATAAGAGAAGCCGTGATGAATCAGGCCAATGGCCCCTCCAGTCCAACACTCTGTGTCACGCAGTGGCCAAAACCCAGGGGCCATCAGGAGGTCCACCAGTGGGGCCAGAACTCCAGAAGCCCTCCCACGGTTGCCCCCCAAGCACCAAGAATACACAGCATCATTGCCCCAGGTGTAAGAACATAAGCGAAGCCATGTTGGATCAGGCCAATGGCCCATCCAGTCCAAGATCCTATGTCACACAGTGGCCCAAATTCAAGTTCCAAGTGTAGCTCCTTAGAGGAAAAGGGTGAGGTGAAAATGTGATTGACTGAAAGTTTATTATACTTCTCAAGCTGCATGCTCATGAATCCCTTCTGTGTCTTAGGAAAGGGATTGGAAAGGGATCCCTGAATGCCACAACATGCCCTCTATCTTCCCTCCAGTAAACATCAGTCCAAGAACGGCTGGTCCATCAAAGACCTCAACAAGGTAAACGTGCCGGGATGGCTCTAAATTACTGGCAAATACAAGAAGGCGCCACTGAGGGGGGAAACTGAGAGCTTGACCCTCGAGATCTCGTTTATTATTTATCGTGCTCAGGCGATAAATGGGTATCACATAAAAATCTGACACTGAACTCAATCTCCACAGCACATTATTTTTTAAATGAGTTTCTCGTGAAGTCAACTTAAAAAAAAGCCGGGTCCAATTAACTGAAGAGACTGGAATTAGTCAGGCTAGCCTTTGCCTAATTTTCTCAAGGTTTGTTGTCTGGGGCCTGTTTTGACATTTATCCCTTATGTTTAATTTAATCTAAAAGAAACTTGCGAGGCAATTCTGCCCCAAAAGTTATGAGTCTCCCAATTACTTCTGAATACTTGTTACATGCGGTGATTTGTTCGTTTTTAATGAGATTCTGTTCTTGCGTGGCTCTTCAAGGGCAAAATCTCTACATTGTTTTGTTGTGTTGGAGTGAGCGACTCGGCATGCCTGGACTTTGGGGGGCGCTACATCGCTCTAAGGGTGTAGAGGTGCTATCTCCTTGAATGGGAGGCCTCTCTTTGTCTTAACCTGGGAGCTGCCCTCTCATCCAGTTTGGTGTCGTGGTTTGTTGCTCTCACGCAAGTGTCTGGAGGGTATGCCACCTCAGACTTAATCACTGAAGGGCTTAGTGAACTTATTCAGATCTTCCTTTCTGGACAGCATCTGAGCCTGTGATTTACAGAGGTCTGAACGTCTTCCTTGTGTTTAATCCTCTTACGGTTTTACCACGGGAATTGAAAACGATGTCCCCCCTTCAAGGGACCATGTTAAAATCTCAGTGGCCGTAAAACGGTGGTTGCTTACCTGTCCCTTTGTCCTCTCCCTCTCCTCACATGGCCTTCCATGAAGACACATGTCTCTGCAGGTCTCTCCTGTAGAGACAGTGCCCTCATCCTCCCACACACATGACGCCGGACAAGCTGGCCATTGGGGACAGGGAAAGTCCTCTTTAGATTAGGCTTCTCTCTCCCCTTTCGCTTGCAACCTGAATGTGAACTGGATCTGCTTGAATAAATGTAAGTTAATGTAATGTAAAAGGAAATTTTTGCAATATACTTCTTGGGAGATTTATTTACTGCGCTCAGTATCACGCTTCTATGACTGGGCAAAACTCTGCTATACCAAAGCCAAATGTCCCAATATGTTGTACTGAATATTTCACCCAGGAATTATAGCAAAGATGCATCAGCAATGGCTGTTTATTCCATAATACTAGACCCAGTCCGCACCAGTGTTCCCTCTAAGCTGAGTCAGTGTGAGCTAGCTCACAGTTTTGTAGCCTTTTTAGTTCTGCCGCCGCGAAAGGGGGGACTGTAACGATATGAGCTTATGTTTGTATTTCTGTATAGTGGTGATGCTGCTTATGTGTGTCTCTAGCATGAATACCTATGCATTGTGTATTCAGGGATTGCTGTATGTTGTGTGTTGCTTTGTTCTGCATCTCATGCTTGCCTAGAAATAGGCTGGCCTGGGCCTGCCGTTGCACATACGGACCATGTGCGTCCCTGGAATGTATCCCATGACTCTTTGGGATGGAGAAGACACCGCGCCATTGCACCCACTTGGAGAGCTATGGAAAATCCCCAGCGAACCCCGGCATTCTTGGAATGGAAAGAGCAAGTGACCCTACTCCCTTAATCTGGTTTGGAGATCTAAAGACAATAGCGTTTATGGCTTTGGAGCAGGAACCAGATCTGCAAATCAAGAGGGTGTCCATGGGAACGGAAGATTCACACCTTGCCAAAAGGCACCTTTGATGTAGGAGTAGGATCTGCATATTGCCACCACCCCTTAGGAGAGCGTCATCCCCTTCGTCATCCCCTCGTCACCCCCTCTTCATCCAGTAGTGATAGTTTAGAGGACGGGTTTGATAGTTTATGGCTGGATAGCACATGCCCCAAAAAGAGTTTATTTAAGGAGAAACTCTCCTTTGTCTCTCTGGTTAACCCACCCTCCCCATAGCAGTGCACTAAGGTGCTACAAGTGACTCTACTACTTAAGTTCTCCGGAGTCGCGACCCAGAGAGCTCACACGTGGTTTGGCTGGTCCTACCTGTGTGCCTTGGAGTTCACAAGCTGCTGCATTTCGGCTGCCCAGCGTTCCAAGGAGGAGAGTTCTTCCTCAGCTGGACCTCAGATGAGTATAGCCGTGCCCCATTGTGTCTTCCCCATTTTGATGCTTTTGTTATTTTCTATGCTGTAATTGTTCTAATGTACTATTGTAACTAAGGAGCTTGTATGAATTTGTATGATTCCGATTTTGTATGCCTGATGAAAAACCTTTAGTAAAGACAACATTTATTTAAGGACTAGCGTGTTGTCTCACTTCCTGGGATATAGCCGAGCGTCTCATTCGCCATCCGACCTCTGTATAGACTGGTATAGAACTTACGCACAGCCACAAACACCCAATTTTCCTTGGTAGATAACTTGGATTGGGTCTCCAGGAATTTCCTGGAGAAGTTGGCATAACAGGGAGCTCACAAAGTAGAATTTTTGCTCACAGGACTCCACAGCTTAGAGGGAGCGTTGGTCCACACTTCATCCTCTTATACTGGCTGATATTCAGGTCTGTTAGAAGGACTGCTGTCATAAAATGTGCTTGAAGCCTTTTGAACACGGAAAATGCCATTAAAATAATCATGAGAACGGTGATGAGTCATTAACAGCACAAATGGGGATCTTGATTTGGGACCCAAGCTCCCACCAGAGAAGTCGGTGCCTTATTAAGGAAGCGCCAACTTCTCCACTGTGTGGAGTCTCAGGATAACCATGTCGCAGTCTTAGGATAACCGCACAGGGAATGATGCCCGTGACGTTTCTAAGCATTCTCGTGAGGACGCACACCATCTTCATGCCTGGAATGGAAAATCTGTGCGCCTACTCACCAAACAGACTACCTCATAGACACAAGGTTGCCCGGTCCTCCCAGGCCACTAGCAGAGATGGGGGTTGCCAGCTCATTTGGGAAACTCCTGGAGATTTGGGGGTGGAGCCCGGGGAGGGCAGGGACCTCAGCACTGGGGTGCAATGCCGTAGACTCCCCCCTCCAAAGCAGCCATTTTCTCCAGGGGAACTGATGTCTGTAGTCTGGAGATAAGCTGTGATTCAGGCCTCACCGGGAGGCTGGCCTCCCTAGGAGGATTGGGCCCTGTGTATCTGTCCTGCTGAGTGCAGTGTCTCCCCTGGTGTGAGGCACCGTCAACTTGACTCAAGTACCTCTTCCATCGGGGGAATGTACTGCCGTAGGGCTGCCAGCCCCTGTTGGAGGGGGGGGGGACGGGGGAGAAACAGGCACTGGTCAGATGTCACAACATCAGTTCTGGCATGGCCGTATCCCATCAGTGTGACACTGTAGGATTCTCCCCCAAACTCTATGGTTTTATCACAGAGTTTTGAAGGTGGGGCGGGGGGTGTTCCCTCCAAACTGTGCTGGTGTGAGCCAGCTCACCGTTTTTCAGCCTCCGGCTCACAGAGTTTCATCTCAGGAAGGATGGCTCCGGAGCAAACTAACTTATGCAGCAGCCAAATCGCTCGCCGGTGGCTCACAGAGTAGAATTCTTGCCCGGGAGACTCCACGGCTTGGAGGGAGCCTGAGAATGTCACCTGACGTGATGGTGTCAGTTCCCAGGTCCTCTGGAGATGAATGATATTAACGGGAGTTCTCCAGGTGCCACCTGGAGCCTGGCAACCCTAGGTGTGGAGGGAGCGCTTTGTTGCTCTCACGCAAGCGTCTGGAGGGTACGCCACTTCAGACTTAGTCACTGGAGGGCTTATTGAACTTATTCAGATCTTCCTTTCTGGACAGCATCTGAGCCTGTGATTTACAGAGGTCTGAACGTCTTCCTTGTGTTTAATCCTCTTACGGTTTTACCACGGGAATTGAAAACGGTGTCCCCCCTTCAAGGAACTATGTTAAAATCTCAGTGGCCGTAACTCAAGTTCTCGCCCTGCCTCTTTCCTCCACGTGGTCGGTATTTAATATTGCGATTCAGGCTTCCAAACACAAGACCAGTGGAAAGGCGGGACCTTTCTTTTCCCAAACACCAGAAGGTATGGAACAGTTGAAATTAAGCACTTTTGAGTCTCTGCAATTTCATTGGCAAAGCTGAGCAAGTGTTGATATCTCTCCCAAAGAAACTGATAGATGTGCCTAGCGATAGTTGGAGCTCATCCAGGATTTTAAAAGGTAATGAGAGGCAAGCAGCCTGGTCTCGTGCATGTTTAGGTAAAGGTCAAGGTCTCCCTTGCTCGGAAGCCAGTTGAATCCGACTCTAGGGATGCGGTGCTCGTCTCCTTTTCCAAGCCGAAGAGCCAGCGCTGTCTGAAGACGTTTCTGTGGTCATGTGGCCGGCATGACTAGACGCCGAGGTGCACGGAACACTGTTACCTTCTCACTGAAGCGGTACCTATTTATCTACTTGCAATTTCTTGCTTTCGAACTCCTAGGTTGGCAGGAGCTGGAACCAGAGACGGGAGCTCACTCCGTCACGCGGCACTCAGGTCTCGAATTGCCGAACTACCAGAGGTCATTTCAGGGGGGATCACGGGGGATCGCAGTTTGCCCGGGTGAGGTACGGGGGGCGGGGCACATGACAAAGCCCCGCCCCCTGCTTCCGGCCGCCCCACTTCCGGCCCTCATTCAGCCAGGAGGAGGCAAGAGAAGAGGGAGGGTAAGTTGCTTCTTCCCTGCCTCTCCCCACCCCTGCCTGCCTGGGGCCAGGGAGGGCCTTTGCGGGGCTTCCTTGCACTCCCGCCAGCCGGGACCGTTGGGGGTGGTGTGTGTGGCCTTATGACACACTTCCGGTGATGTCAGGGGGTGTGGCATATGCTAATGAGTTATGCTAATGAGTTCCCCTAGCTCTTTTTCTACGAAACGACCCCTGCGAACTACCGACCTTCCAGTCTGCAGTTCAGTGTCTTAACCTCTTGAGCCACCGCGGCCCTCTCATGCATGTTTACCCAGAAGTAATTCCTACAGAGTTGAGAGGGGATTGTTCCCAAGTAAGTGCACAGAACCGCCGCTTTTCTGAAGTCTCTGTAACAGGTAGTGACAAAGATCCACCTGATATTCTGCAAGCCCTTTAAAAAGTAAAATTCAAAACAGAAGCGTTTTACTCACCTTGTTTGTAAAATATCAGATTTCTCAGAATTATCTATGGACATGACAAAGAGGTTGATAAACCAAGTGAGGGAATATTGGTACATTGGCTCGATACTGGCTAGATCCGCGATGGAGAAAAACAGGATTGACGAATGAACCGCAATGGGACGGTAGCCCATTCGGGTGTCATCGATTTTCTTTTCCGTCTCTTCCGCTACAGCTTGCTTCTCCGAAATCTCGTTAGCCAAAGCCTTGGAAGAAGATAGGACCTTGATGGCGGTCTCGTCCTCTAAGATATTTCCTTCCGAAGACGAGAGGACTTCTAAAATTTTGTCCTCTATTTCTTTGAGCTGCCTGTAATGGAATAATAAAACACAACCGTGTTTGGAAAGCTGCGAATGACCTCACAGAGAGTATGGATGGTTATATCTACCGGTAAAAAGGGGATTTAAGACCAGAGGACATTACTATTGTACACACAAACTGTTTTCTAAAATACAGCTTCAGGGTTTTTTCATTGGTTTTTTATACTCAGTCACAAATAGTTACTTAAAATGTTCCCAAAAGATTTTTGCCTAGAAGTTACTAGGGGCATACTTGCATAGAAGTAAACTTCTGTGAATGTATGGACACGGAACCACATGCAGAAAGAGGGGCTGCACAGTGTTCCCTCTAAGAGCCTGTTCGGTGTAGTGGTTAAGTGCGTCAACACTAATCTGGGAGAACCAGGTTTGATTCCTCACCAACGTTCCCTCCAAGCTGAGTCAGTGTGAGCTAGCTCACAGTTTTTTAGCCTCCGGCTCACACATTTTTGCCTTAGCTCAGGAAGGAGGGCTCCAGAGCAAACTAATTCATGCAGCAGCCAAATTGCTCGCTCACAACTTTAATGCCAGCCGCTCACCAAGCAGAATTTTTGCTCACAAGACTCCACAGCTTAGAGGGAGCACTGTTCCCCACTCCTCCACTGGCAGCTGCTGGTAGAGTTCTGTCAGAGCTGTTCTCTCAAGGGCAGCTCTGGAAAGAGCTCTCTCAGCCCCACCTACTTCACAGGCAGTGTTCCCTCTAAGATGAGTTAGTGTGAGCTAGCTCACAGTTTTTTAGCCTCCGGCTCACACATTTTTGTCTTAGCTCAGGAAGGATGGCTCCGGAGCAAACTAATTTATGCAGCAGCCAAGTGGCTCGCTCACAACTTTAATGCCAGTGGCTCACAAAGTAGAATTTTTGCTCACAAGACTCCACAGCTTAGAGGGAGCATTGCTCACAGGGTGTCTGTTGTGGGGAGGGGAAGGGAAAGGAGTTTGTAAGCCGCTCTAAGACTCCGAGTGAAGGGCGGGGTATAGATCCAATCTCTTCTTCTTCTTCTTCTAAGCTATGCATGTGAGCAACCGCTCGTTAACACAGGAAGCCCCGCTCGGCAGCAATCCGGAGCCACACAAGGTCTTGCACTGCCCACCGCCCATTTTATGATTGCACCAGTTATACTCTGCTCGGGATGGGAACTGCTCCACTCAGTGGGGGGGGGGAACAGAAGGAGCATTGGTCCTGGTCTCTTCCCACAGCTGGACTCCCTGCACATTAGGGGTGTCGGCCTCCAGGTGGGACCTGGGGATCCCCCGGAATTACAGCTCATCTCCAGACTGCGGAGAGCAATTCCCCTGGAGGAAATGGATGCTTGGGAGGGCGGACTCTGCAGCATCACCTCTCCACTGAGGTCCCTGCCCTCCTCAGGTTCTACCCCTAAATCTCTAGGAGTTTCTCAATTTGGAGCCGGCAACCCTCCCCTCCCCTCTCCCCCCCCCGTCAGTGGTCAGGAGGACCTGGCAAGCCCTGGAGAGACCGCCACCTTCTGTCAGTCTGGGAGTGTTGATTTCACTCGTCCTCCTGTCCCCTCCTCTACAAAGGACCAGGGCTACACTTTTGCCAGTTGCACGGGTCTATCACTGGCAGGGGCAGATTAACCGTTAAGCAGACTCGGCACGTGCTTAGGGCACCAGGGCCAAAGGGGGCACCACAAAGTTGGGGAAAGGGTGAAAAGGAAAAAAAAAACAAATGAAGATTTGTTAAAAAAAAAATTGATAACACTAGTGCGAGGTGCAGTCTCGTAGGCTATGACACCAAGATTGGGGACACCAAGATTGGTCAGTGCCCCTGATCACCGGCAACGGGGGGGAAAATAATCAATTTCCAAGTAGACAGAAAAGGTTGGGTGAACCCTCCATACAAAACGCTCTTCGCACAGACCGCATTCTTCAAGGGACACAGGCAGCTGCTCTTATTCATTAATCAATTTCCAAGTAGACAGAAAACGTTGTGTGAACTCTCCGTTCAAAACGCTCTTTGCACAGACTGCATTCTTCAAGGGACATAGGCAGCTGCTCTTATTCGGTGAACCCCACGATTTGATAACTCTAGATCCAACTCCTGTCCCTGGAAAAAGGAACTCATTCATCAATTATTGCCCCGCCCTGCCTATTAAGACACTTGGGGGGGGGGGGTTGGTAGCAAATAACATTTTAGTACCTTTTATTCTCCGCTCCTTGCAAGATCAGAGCTTGTTTTTCTTCTTCGAGATCCGGTCTCTCTCTTGCAACGACGATCCCAAGAAGTTGGTCTTGCATTCCTTCGGGTGTTATCATGAAGTTCAATAACGTTACCTGGGAATTAAGAAAAAGAACAGCTCCAAAACAGAGTTACAATAGGATAGACCATAAATCCACGCCAACCACAGATCACTGAAATATGGAGCTTTCAAATTTAGGATAGTGTTTCAATGCTTTTTATTTAGGCCATGGGTAAGAAAATACAATGTATCTTATATGTAAATTTCAGTCCGTCTTCAACACAAGACATTCCCTGTTTGATGGCTCATAAAGTAATGCAAACTCTTTATGCAAAAGAGATTCATTAGCTTGGCTCAGACATAGGGCTTTTCTGCATTTTCATTTTTCCTATTTGTAAGTTCCGTTGTGTTTTTTTTGGGGGGGGGTGTTTCTATTTCACACATGTTCTGCACCTTCTAGTGGATGAATCTACATTAAACCCGTTTATATTCAGCATCTTCTCCCTGCAGGTTAAAACTGCAGGGTTTTATGTCAGACATAAACTGTAATATCAAATCGACCACTAGAGGTAGCAAAACACATGCAGAACAGACCCCCACCCCCACCCCCAAGAAACAGGAACTTGTAAGCAAGGAAAATCAGGATGTCGAAAAGCCCACAGTGAGGGATTTTGGTTTACTTAATCAGGAAATTAAGGAAATGGCTCACAAAAATCAGGAAATCCTGAAATCAGGAAATGGCTCACAATGATTCAAATCCTGGTCTGTTTTGACAAATGCTGCTTTTACTCCTTCTGCTAGCCCCCCCCCCCCCCCCCCCCCGGCCGCGCTCACCCCTCTCCTCACCACCATTACATACCGGGATGTCCATATTTGTAAATCATGCAAAACCACAATTAATTAGATGATGAAGAAGAGATTGGATTTATACTCTGCCCTTCACTCCGCGTCTCAGAGCAGCTTACAAACTCCTTTCCCTTTCCCTTCCCCTCCCCACAACAGACACCCTGTGAGGTAGGTGGGGCTGAGAGAGCTCCTTCAAGAACTGCTCTTTTTCAAGGACAGCTGTGCCAGAACTATGGCTTGCCCAAGGTCATCCAGCAGCTACAAGTGGAGGCGTGGGGAATCAAACCCGGTTCTCCCAGATTAGAGTCCACACACTTAAACACCACACCAAACTTGCTCTTCATTAACTTTGGTTAACAACCACCTTCAAACCATAGTTTCAGATCCTGGGTTGATGTACTCAAATTATAGTCAGTGGAATGGCCCGCATCTGTACAATCATGCTAACCATAGTTTAATAAAGCTCATGGTTTTACAAGATGTCTGTACTGAACTAGTGTGTTTGATAAAGCTTTGGATAATTTTGTCCCATTTATTTATGAGTGAGATGCTCCAAAATGCAGGGGTAACTAAGTAGGCAAAAAGAGTAGCGTTTTAGTCAGGCTTTGCCATGGTTTCCTGAAAACTGCCCTTTTACCAAGTCTTCATTAATCCAGTGGGAAGAGATGGGGAATCACAGTGCTTTTCCACATTGCCATTCTCTTTGCTTGTAAATTCCTGCTTCATTGGGAGGGGCGGGCTGCTCCATTCATGTTTTGCTTCCTCTGGTGGTCGATTCAATATTACAACGGTTGATATCTGGCATAAAAACTTGCAATTTAAAGCTGCAGGGGGATATACTAGACATAAACCGGTGTAATATCACATCAACCACTAGAGGGAGCAAAATACATGTGGAACAGGAAAAAAAGCCCAAAGAAAAAAGGAACTTCGAAGTGAGGGAAATGAATATGCAGAAAAGCCTATCGAAAAGTCTCCAGTAGTGTAGTTGTAAACTAAATTTGTCTGGCGTATGAAGCCAATGTTAGAAAATACAAGCCATCACCTACAACTAAAGCATTTGTCCATATTCATACATGCAACCTTAAGGAAGACCACTAGAGAAACAGAACTGCTGCTGATGTACTTATCTGTTCATTGTACCAAGCCCTATGAGGAAAGGCTGAGGGACTTGGGAATGTTCGGTCTGGAGAAGAGGAGGCTGAAGTATTTGAAGGGCTGTCCCTTAGAGGAGGAGGGCAGGGAGCTGTTCCTGTGGGCAGCAGAGGAGAGGACTCGGAAGAATGGGTTTAAATTAAGGGTAGGAAGGTACCAGATGGATATTAGGAAAAACGTTTTTGACAGGAAGAGTTGTGCAATGGTGGAATCAGCTGCCTAGGGAGGTGGTGAGCTCCCCCTCCCTGGCAGTCTTTAAGCAGCGGCTGGACAAACACTGGTCAGGGATGCTCTGGGCTGATCCTGCATTGAGCAGGGGGTTGGACTGAATGGCCTGTAGGGCCCCTTCCAGTTTGGTGTAGTGGTTAAGTGCGCGGACTCTAATCTGGGAGAACCGGGTTTGATTCCCCACTCCTCCACTTGCACCTGGCTGGATGACCTTGGGCAAGCCGTAGCTCTGACAAGGGCTGTTCTTGAAAAAAGAGCCGTTTCTGTCAAGAGCTCTCCCGGCTCCACCTACCTCACAGGGTGTCTGTGGTGGGGAGGGGAAGGGAAAGGAGTTTGTAAGCCGCTCTGAGACACCTTTGGGTTGTGAAGGGCGGGGTATAAATCCAATCTCTTCTTCTTCTTCTTCCAACTCTCTGTGATTCTATAATTCTATACAAAAAAACAAACCCATGAAGTTCCCACACAAGCTTCTCACTTTTACAGATGTTTCCGGGAGGTAGTGGGGGTTCCTCAGCTTGGTGGTAATATAAAAGCGAAAGTCGGGAGCATATTCGATGGTGGAGTCCCCCAGGCGGATGCAGATGCTACCGGACTGCTTGAACGTCTGTTTCAGCAGAAGCGGCTCGAGGATTGGGTCCAGTTCTTCGCCCACGTTTTCCAGCAACACTTCCGGACAATAAAAGAACAGAGTTTCTTCAGCCATAAAGCCAGGACTTATGATTTGCAAGGAAGGGGAACAAAATATAGAGCAAAACCAATCTCCGAGAAATACCGCCAGATGGGCAATAATTTTAAAACAAAATGGAAAACAGTTTCGGGCCATCACTTGGCTGAAGTTCAGGAGAAGAAATATTTTTACAACAGAGCCAGCTGCATCCCTGTACATAAATTTCAAAGAAAAGCGCAATGAAATCTTAGACCGGTGATATTTAACACTCCAGAGAATAAGAAAGGCCTATAAGAGAAGATAAGCAAAAAGCTGGAAATGTGGGGATGGGGGTTTCATACATATTTGGTGGGGTGGCCCAAAGATATAATTAAAGACAGCTATAATTAACCAATCAAAAGCATAGCAGCACGTGTGATCCCATTAACGCTGTTTAAGCGACACACCCCTAATGTAGCCAATCCTCCAAGAGCTTACAGTAGCTCCTGTAAGAAGGGCTCTGTAAGCTCTTGGAGGATTGGCTACATTAGGGGTGTGTGGCCTAATATGCAAAGGAGTTCCTGCTACAAAAAGAGCCCTGCAATATTGGAAATATTAAAGATCAAATACAGAAGTTGAATCGCCTATTAGTGGAGGGTACGTTTTTTACATGCAAAGATTCTGAATGCCGCCAAATGAAAATTAAGAGAGGGCGCCATGTTTGCTGACTTCCCCACACTGAGTAGAACACGCAGTTCTGTGTCTGCTCAGTAGAAACCAAAGAGGTCCCAGATAAAGCCGAGTGTGTTCAGCAACGATGTCCTCTCTAGCTAGGGCTGCCAACTCCAGGTAGGGGGATACCTGGAGATTTTGGAGGCGAGGAAACTGAGGAGAGAGGGATTTGGGGTGGGGGTGGGACCTAAGTGTGATATAATGCCGTAGACTCCACCCTCCAAAGCAGCCATTTTCTCCTGCAGAACTGGTGGTCTCTGTCCCCTGGCGATCTGTTCTGATTCTGCGCGATCTCCAGGCCCCACCTGGAGGTTGAAGCCAAAAGTGAGAGATCACGGGAGGAGATGGAAGTCCAAACGAAACTTCTGCGACAAGAATAACGAGGAGGAAATGAAGATATATATGCAAAAAATTTTACTATAATAATTACAATTTTGTCAAAAACTGTCTTCTTTTATCGCTCACGTGCAACGAATTCTGCGCAATAAAATATCCGTTTCACAAGGATTGCTTTATCTGAGTGTGTAGTAATTACAATTCTTTTTTTTCCCCAAAAACAATTTATTAGGATATATTATTAAGTCAAATACATATTATATTCTTAGTTGTTATACATCCTTTCTTCTATTCTACTCCCCCCCCCTTGGCTTCCCACAGTGCTCCAACCTCCAGCCCATGTCTTAAATTGTCTTCTATTTTCCCATATCTTATAATCATAATCTATCGGTAACATTTCTTTCACCAATTGTTCACTTACAGTTAACTTTCTTCTAATAACACACACTTTTCAATAACTATCAAAGCAAATTAAATTGTCCTTTACATCCCAATATTTCTCCAGGTAATCTTTAAAATCTTTCCAGTCAGCATAAAATTCTTCTGCTTCAAGAGTCTTAAGTTTCCTTGTCATTTTATCCATTTCAACCATAATGTAGCAATTACAATTATTATCAATTTCCACTTATCAGCTCTTGAAATAAACATCCCGTGTTGACTTTCTGATATCAGAACCTCTCAAGGCCTTCACAAACCTTGGGTTCTGGTATCAGAGAGTCAACATGAACATGGGATGTTTATTTCAAGAGTTGATAAGTGGAGATTGATAAGAATTGTAATTACTACATGCCAGGGGTCATTTCGTAGAAAAAGAGGTTCAGGAGCTCATTAGCATAACTCATTAGCATACCTTATTTGCATATGCCACACCCCCTGACATCACCAGAAGTGTGTCAGAAGGCAACACCCACCGCTCAGGCTCCACTGGACTGTTTTGGATTGCTAGCTATTGGGGGGGGGGGGACGTGCAGATCTGCCCTCACAGAGGAGGGAGAGCTTGTACCTGAAGGCGGGCCCGGGGGGGGTGCTCTGCAACTTACCTGGCTGCCTCTTGCTCCTCGTGGCTGGACTGACGGCAGCTGGGAGCAGGGGGCGGGGCTTGTTACATGTGCCCGCCCCCTGGGCTCCTTACTGCCGGAGCTCCGCTCCTGTGCGCTCCCGCAGGAAATGACCCCTTCTACACGCTCAGATAAAGCAATCCTTGTGAAACGGATATTTTATTGCACAAAATTCATTGCATGTGAGCGATAAAAGAAGGCAGTTTTTCACAGAGTTGTGATTATTACAGTAAACAATTTTGCATATATATATATCTGTTATTCTCGTCATGGATGTTTTGTTTGGACTCCCACCTGGAGGTTGGCAAGCCTGACTCTAGTAGAAACACATACACCCCCGGCCACAGTCGTCCTTACATTTTTTCCAATAAAAGGAAAATAACTGGCCTCTAAGTGAACTCTTTTATCTCAGTCCCTGGTTCCTTATCAAAAAGATCGGCACACACAGAGTCGCAAAAAGAGGCTGAATGACTGTTTATATCAATCCCGAGGACTCTATGAGAGATAAAAATATGAAGTCCATTGAAAGTATGAGCCAGACCAGGCAAGACTGTCGTTTTGAAGATAAACACACCCTAGGCAGGAACTGGAAATTAGACACCAAGAGCTTTATAGCCTGGTGGCATTTCAGTTGTGACGACTGCAATCTGATGACCCACGACCAGCCTGATGAAAGCGGGAGCGTATATAATTCCCAAGCTAACTCCGAGTTAATCCTGCCCCCCCCACCGCCGCCGGCTTGTTATCAATCAACCGCTTTGGCTTCGGCTGCTCACCGGGTGTGCCGAACTGCACGCAGTTTTCCAGCGTTCTCACGAATTCCGAATGGCTGAGCTTGATGACGTGCAGGCTGTTTGCCTTTTCCATGTTCTTCACCCACTTGTTTGCTTGTCCCTGAGGATCTATCATGAGAGGCCATCTTCTTGCATTCCTGGAGAGAAAGAAGGCATGTGCACGCAGACGTTCATGGAAGGTGTTTGTGCGCCACCTCCCAATAGAGTCCTAGTAATAAGGACCTCCTGGTGGCCCTCGCCCAAGAGAGAGCCGGCTGTCCTCGACTAGGGCCAGGGCTTTCTCGGCCCTGGCCCCCACCTGGTGGAACTCTCTGCTGGAGAACATCCATACTCTGAAGGATTTACTACCTTTCTGTAGGGCTTGTGTCATGATCTGGGCTGTGCAAGCAAAGCCTAGCAGGCCCAGGAAGCCTGACTAGCAGTGGGAGGAGGCCAGGTAGGGCTGCCAAGTGGGGACAGGGGGCGGGTAAACCCCCGCTTTGGAGGCCCGATTTCCGCCCCCACGGAATCGGGCCCCGGGGGAACCCCGCCCCCCGAAGCGCAGCGTGGGTGTGTCACACAACCACGTAGATCACGTTGGGGGCGTGGCCCCAATCGTTGGAGGGAAAACTCTATTGTCTGCTCTATGTTGTGCGTCACTTCCTGTGACGTTCTGGTGGCGCGCGTGTGCTTTGCAAGCGCGCACACATTCATCAGCAGCTCCCGGACCCAAGCGACGCACCCCCGCCGGTGAGTCCGAGCGACTTGGCAACCCTAAGGCCAGGCCTACAACTCCCAGAAGCCCCTGAGAGGTTTTGGTGCCAATTTTAGCCAATCACAGAGAAAGAGGACTTATAACAAAAGAGCTGGTACAGAGGAAGCTGTTCTTTCTTCCAAGAGAGCAGAGCCAGAAAGTAGGCTGCTGCAGGGAAGAGACCCTCATCCGGAGAGGAAGGGTGAGCAGACTGAGGCCCACTTGAGACAGTGAGCTAGGGACAGTAAGTTTAGAAGCGTTAGGGCATTTGGTTTCTTTTGTCTTCACCCCCTTACTGCTATTGTTCTTGCACCTGGTTTTTTCCCATATTGGGCTGACCTCCTGTAAAATAAACCTTTCATTTGTTGTTTACTCTGCCTGGTCCTCACGCTGATTTCGGCCAAACAAGGGAGGTCTGAAGGTCTTGGGAGGGTGCTCTGGGCCTTCTCAAGGGAACCTAAAACCAGAGTGGTGGCAGCATCAAGTGACACCCCACCTGAGCCGTGACAGCCCATAAGGCAGAGATGTTCTGCCAGGCATCTGGTTGGGGACAGTGACAGTCCGCCACTCCCATACTTTAATATCCCCTTTTATTCCTGCCTAGCCCCTCCACCACCCAGGGGGCTGGTGGAAATTACCATCATCTTGGAATTAGTGTTGTTCTCTGACTGTTTTTAAGTATTTTAATGCTGTTTTAACTCAATTATATGGCATTTATTTCTGATGTAAGCCGCCCTGAGCCCTGGTCGGCAAGGAAGGGTGGCCAATAAATTGAATATAATGAATAATAATAAGTAAATATTTTAATGTTGGTTTAACTCAATTATATTGTATTCTGATGTAAGCCGCCCTGAGCCCTGCTCGCAAGGAAGGGTGGCCGATAAATTTAATATAATAAATAATAATTAATAAGTAGAATATAAAAATCTACAATAAAACAACCATCATGGGGAAAAAACCCCAAAATGCTATTGAATCTTCACGATGTATAAACAAAAACGATGACAGCGACGGCTACCCCATATGAGCACATATGGATGCACACAAAGCCGCCATCTTCTGAATCCGATCCTTGGCCCATCAAGGTCAGTACTGCTTACTCGGACTGGCAGTGGCTCTCCAGGGTCTCCAATCCCTGGCATCGCCAGTCAAAAAGGACCAGGCAGTAGGTGATGTGGAAAACCTCTGTCTGAGACCCTGGAGAGATGCTGCCCGTCTGAGTAGACAATACTGAGTAGACAATGGACTGATGGTCTGATTCAGTAGAAGGCAGCTTCATGTGTAAGTTTATCTTTGAAACAGTTGAAACCGTCGCTGGGACCTTGCGTGATCTGTATATATTTAATATATATATATGTTCATTCAGTTTCCACTTGTGCAACCCGACAGTACCGCCTACGAACTGATCATCAACTGCACTGCAGTTCCAGTTGCACAAACACCACTTGGGCCAGCGGTTCCTACAGCACAGCAGCTCAGCCTTGCGTGGAACCACACTTAAATCCGGAAATGACCAGCAATTTGGGAAATGGTCTGCAAATGCGGCATCAGACCCAAGCCATCGTTTTTTTTCTGTTCTGTCTTCCATACCGATGGTAGGCGGGTGGAAATCAGAAACGAGTTTTGCAGAAAGGCTTAGTTCAATAGGATTGGTAGTTCAATAGTTTCACATCTGAGTTCCACCAGAAATTTGAGTGAGTACCGGATAGCCTACCATAACGTCATAGTCTCAGGCGGTGGGTACCGTGGTGGTCTCCAGTAGGAGAGCCAGATTTGACTCCTGTAGCACCTCAGAGACCAACAAGATCTCCAGGGTGTGGGCTTTCGAGAGTCAGAGCACCCTTCGTCAGGTACAAGCTCTCGAAAGCCTGTAAATTGTTACGTTATTTTGATCTCAACCTTCTCCTACAGACAGCAAAGCAGATGCTCTGCCACTGAGCTGTGGCCCGTAAATGTGAAACGTAAAGTCTGAGGCAAGAGTCCAGGAGCACCTTAAAAACTTTCGTGAGTCCCTGCTCACTTCCGGAGATACTTCTTCAGTTCAGGGGTTGGTATTCTCGGCGATACTCACTTCAGTGAGAAGAGCTTCAAAGAACACAACAAGAAGAGATTGGATCTATACCCCACCCTTCACTCGGAGTCTCAGAGCGGCTTACAAACTCCTTTCCCTCCCCACAACAGACACCCTGTGAGGCGGGTGGGGCTGAGAGAGCTCTTTCCAGAACTGCTTTTTCAAGGACAGCTCTTGTCAGAACTGTGGCTTGCCCAAGGTCATTCAGCAGCTGCATGTGGAGGAGTGAGGAATCAAACCTGGTTCTCCCAGATTAGAGTCCGCGCACTTAACCACTACACCAAACTGGCTCTCCTTTCCCATAATCCCACTCTCATCTATGAACTCACCTCTCATATCCTGATAGCCCTCCCAGTTCTCTTGCAGCATTTCCATGCCACAGAGAACATCCTGGTTGTCCTTTCGAGAGCCAGTTTGGTGTAGTAGTTAGGAGCATGGAACTCTAATCTGGGGGAACCAGGTTTGATTCCCCACGCCTCCACACGCAGCTGCTGGTGAGACCTTGGCTCAGTCACAAGTTCTCTCAGGGCTGTTCTCTCACAAGCAGTTTTCAAAAGAGCTCTCTCAGCCCCACCTACCTCCCGGGCAGTGTTCCCTCTAAGCTGAGTTAGTGTGAGCTAGCTCACAATTTTTTAGCCTCCGGCTCACACATTTTTCTCTTCGTTCAGGAAGGACACTGAGCACTTTGTTTAAATTAGGATTTTTAAGATGTACTGTATGTTTTTAAATTATTATGTATATTATGTTTTATCATGGCAAGGTTTTGCCTTGCCTCTGTATGCCGCCCTGAGCCCATGGGGGAGGGTGGGGTATAAATATGAAAAATAAATAAATAAAATAAATACATAAATATAGGACGGCTCCAGAGCAAACTAATTTATGCAGGAGCCAAATCGCTTGCTCACAACTTTAATACCAGCAGCTCACAAAGTTGAATTTTTGCTCACAAGACTCCACAGCTTAGAGGGAACATTGCTCCCGGGGTGTCCATGGTGGGGAGGGGAAAGGAGACTGCAAGCCACTCTGAGACTCCCTCGGGCATTGAAGAACAGGGTTTAAATCCAATCTCTTCTTCTTCTGTGACTGGCAGTGGCTGTCAACAGACACAGGAAAAGGTCTTTCCCAGACTGGGTCTCCTAGACCAAGACCAAGGTCTAGAAATGCCAGGCCTAAAACCTGGAGCTCACAAAATGTAAAGCGACAGAATAAAGTCTGAGTCCAGTGACACCCTTAAGACCAACAAAGTTTTAATTCTGGGTATAAGTGTTCGTGTGCAGACTTCGTTGGTCTGAAAGGTGCCACTGGACTCAAACTTTGTTC